TCATTATTTTCACAATTTTTCTAGTTGGTGCAACTTGCTTAGGCCCAGTACATCCTTCTGGACCCCCTGGGCACATGCACAGATTCATACCTCTGTTTTTTGTCAAAATACACTAAGGGCATTATTTACAGACACACTGAGGGAAAAAAAATGAACAAAATGAAGAGTAAAGTAGAGAAATAAGTAATATACCAGCAGGATGTAGCAATCCTTTAGAAAACATTTGTATGCTGTTGGAGAGAGCTACTGGCATAAAGATTTGAAAAATGTTTTGGGACCTTTCTATGCCCCTTTAAACAAAGAATATTTATAACTAGCAGAGTGATGGACAATGACTACAAGAAGATTTTGAGAGACTTTTTATTTTTTTATTTACTTAACTTGTTTAAATCATAAAAAAGTTTAACATTGTTCTAATAGCTCTCCGACATTCAATTCATATTCTAAATGCTCGGCCAAAACTATGCTCCCCCCCAAATAAAATACTTTATGAAAAACAAGTCCCTCTGGGACATGAAGACTCCAGCCCATTAAAACCACCAGCATTATAAAGTGGGAAGCACTAATACAATTCATCTGCACAGCCACAGGCACACATGGTATTATGAGCTACACATGAAGGTTAAATAGGCTGACCTAGTGTCCTTTATGTGGGTAGTTGTTCAGGCGCTTATTACTTTTAAAAAAGATTGTGAAAGGGAAAAAAAATGAGACAAAGGAAACAATAAAGTCTCTCCAGACCTCAGGGAAACCTGAAACAAATTGTATTTCTGACAATTTCTGCTTCGGTCCAATAAAAAAGAGAATATATCTAGAGAAACACAAACCTTGCATTCATATGAATGCATTCATGAATTTGTTGGTTTTCGCCAGTTGTTCTGCTTACACGTGTCAGAATCAGTCCAACCCAAAAGTACAAACCAGAACTGACGCACTAATGAAACTTAAGTTGCCCATTAAATAGGAGCTGCAGAGTGCCAAGTCTTCATTCTACCATGTGGGTTAACATTTATGACCAATGTTATTTACATCACTGTGTCTGTCTGTAAATAAGATGATCATAAACCAAAACTATCTCACTGATTGCCTAATGCACTGCAAGCATCTTTAACATGTATATGTGTGATCTTCACAGGGCTGTACGTGTCCAGTTCATCCTTCCATCCTATTCCAGCAGGGTCACAATGGGGCCGGTGCCCATCTACAGGTGAATGCAGGTTACAACCTGGACAGGTCGCTAGTCTGTTGCAAGGCAACACGGAGACATACAACCATGCATGCATAAACTCACATCTAAGAACAATTTAGAGAAGCCAGTTAACCTAACAGTCAAGCCAGAGTACCCGGAGAGAACCCACGCATGCTTGGGGAAAATAGACCCCAGGCCAGGGCAACAGTGCTGCAAACTAAACCATCTTGCAGCTGATCAGCAGAGAAAAATGGAAAGAACAATGAAAGGAAATTCAAGCATCTAGGCATATATATGACTAAAAAAAAGGACTAAAACAGGATTTGAATATAAGCGTTGTCTACACTGACATGCAGACCGTCATGTATTCTTCATAAAAAGAAAATGTAAGCTTGATATAGGAAATAAGTAATACATAAAAAGTTAACTAAAAGCCAAGTTTAGAGAAAAAAATATTTTCAAATTCTTTAGAGTTTACATATGGAAATAAAAAGATAATAAGAAAATTCTATTTGATACATTTCTGACTGAAATACCACAATGCCACGTGTTTTCATCTTTTTTATTTTTTAAATAAATAATATTTCTGTTGAAAAAAAAAAGAACATCTGAGAAATCCTCGACCAATTTACAGTAAAAGATCAAATGCATTTTCAGTAAACATGATCTTAACTGTTTTTTAAGGTTCATGACTTCAAATATCCTTCTAAAAGGGAGTTTCAAAGACACAACAGTTTCCCTTTTAGATCAATTTGTTTCAAGCTGTCATTCGTGCAGCTTTCTTGTTAACTCAAAAGACAGGATCTTCTGTGTTGGACTGCTGCAAGAAAAATGCTTTAGAAATGCATGAAAATTCTAAACATTTGATGTGGTAGTTTACAATTATTATGTTGCAAGTTTAAAATAAAACTTTGAGGGATCAATTGAGCATAAAGACATATGAATTGTTACTTATATAGTCAAAGTACCAACTGCCAATCTGCAGAAAAAAAATATACTCGATAACCTGCCTTTTTCACAAAAGGGGGAAACTGTCATTTTACAGTTTTAGAAGATATATGCCTTTACTAGTAAATATTTACACATTTAATCTAATTAATTATTTCTACAGAATATTTCAAATTAGGTGGAAAACACTTTTCCAGTGCTGCAACTCAGACGAGGATACTTGAACAGAAAGAATACTTTTCAACAGAAAATTAATCAGAGCAAGTACTTACCAAACAACCAAACACTAAACAGGTTCCAGATGGTGTACAATATCTCTAACTGATTCGATTCATGCCGCAGACATCTGCAAACCTCTCTGGCTATTTTCCGAAAATTAACAAGAAATGGGGAGATTGCAAAGTAATATGTGCGTGATTAGAGCGACATTCTTCCTGTAATAGCTTGTTCAGAATATTTTGGCACGCTTCATAATGGAAACTACAGTGTGCAAATGTGGAGCTTGGCTGTGTGGAAAACATTTCTAGCCTGAGCATACATAAAATAAACAAGTAATGAAAAAGAAAAAAAAGATTGTTTCTTTGAGTCACAAAGAGAAATTTCTGTCTTATTTAGAGTCCATTTGCAGTCAATCCGTAAACATCAGTAAATTACTGTTGAATTATTTTACTTTTTTCTTGTGGTTGAAGAGAAAATATTCTGAAACAACAATGCATTGACAATAAATAAGCTGAAAATTTGTAAAAATTTGTTGAAGTAATTAGATAACTTATGACATAGTTAAAAGAAGGTGCTTTGGCTTTTAAACACTAAAAAATGTGTCAATAGTAGCCCCAACTGAACCGGCATAAAACATTTTAAGGCGTTTTTTTTCATGTTGGTGAAACAAACTTTGAAGTAGTAGTATTGATTATCAATAGAAAACAAAATATTTAGAAAGTCTTGCCTAAGTATAAAATTTACTTATTATTTTCTACATCTATCTTAGAACATCCAAAGGAAAAAAAATCTTAAAACATTAAAACTGCATGACCCTTATAACTTTAATCCTTGACAATAACAACAAAAAGAGAAATCATCCAAATTTAAGATGAAAGTATTGGTTCACAGAACTTTACAATACAACAGGCAATGTTATTTTGAAAGATGCCAAACGCTGCTTATGCATTTTCAGTTGCTCTTTTGAGCAGTCTGTTAATGTCAGGACTCATCAGTCTCATCTGCTGTCTTGAATAATCAGTTCTAATTCAACAGAGGAAGTTTGAGCGGATCACCACTCACAGAATCCACTTTCTGTTGCTTTCCAAAATGTTGCAGGCAAGCCAAATAGGTCGAAGACATCAGGCGAAACGTTTCGCTACAGATGTTCATCTGGTACTCCTCCTCAGGTTTTCTAGTGTCTGCAGGAAGGAGCGCTGGGCCTGTTCCTGCTCCAGGGTGGAATAGTCCTCCTCCTCCTCCTCAATGATGCCACACTGAACACAGCGAAGGCGGGGCTCACGTTGTCCAGCCCTGCAGACGCAAGCTGTGGCCAAAGATTGAGGAAACTCCTCCATCGCTAAAGGCAGCAGATGGGCAGGAACAGTATCCATGCTGGTCGCCATGGAAAAAAAGAGGCCAAAATTAAAGGATGATGAGCTGCAAACAGTAAAGCTCTAGAGAAGCCACAGCAGTGGACAAAAGAGGTTCAAGTACAGATATTTCTGATGAGCGGTTCTTAAGTTTTCTGGAACAGAAATTATCACAAAAAAAACTTGTCAACATGTGATTTAATCAATGAGAGCTGTTGAAAAGATCCTCCAGGGTTCTGTTTGATGTCTGAGATCCTGTTATGCTCCCTTTCCCAAAAATGTTTTTGTCTTAAAAACAGAAAAAGTGTGAACAAGTCTGAGTGAGCTGCTGAGTAACACTGAGCTCTTCTTTTATACATTTCAGCAACCCACTCACTTCTTCCTTTGGGCATCCCTCCACGCACAGAGCGCCTCTCCCCTCCTACATCCTCACTGATGACAGATTTCCGCAGCTTCCATACCAGTGCACCGGAATAACCTCCCAGAAACTGTTGGCATGGGAACCGGATTAGAACATTTAGGAGAGAGTAGGTAGAACAGTGAAAAACAGCAACAGATTTATGGAGATTTTGAAAATAATTAATTGTATAGCCATTAAAGAAATGTATATAAGCTAATAAATCAAATACCTCTCAACAGTGCAAGGAACCCTTCTCGATGGCATAAAACTTTGCATTTGTTTAATTTATAAATACCACAGAAAAGATTAAATATCCACGTATAACTTGGTCTGAATTCTAACAGCACAGGGGATTGTGGGATGTTCGATCCTTCATGTGGACTCCAAATACACCCGACAAGCCCATAAGAGAACCATCATTGCTGCTGACACCTACCACCCTACCCAAAGAATGTTTGTTCAGCTGTCTTTAGGAAAGCTGTACAGAACTATCAGAACATTTATAATAAAGTTTGTTTTTTTGAGGAATACGTCTTAACAGAAAAAGTCTAATCCTTTTTTTGGGGACCTCAAGAGCCAGTGTTCTGCATATTTTAGAGCCCTTGTGCAAAGAAACATAAATGTCACTCTTGGATAGGCATCAAAACCTCTTTAGAAAAGAAAAACTGAGCCAAACTTTACCTCCAGCTGTGGTCACCTGTATTTAGTCCCTTAGTCAAAGACCACTTTAAATAGATTTTAAAACAAAAGAACTGGGAGATTACTGTCAGTAGACAAAAGATGTCAGTTTATAACTTTACTTTTTCCAATAACCATACTTAAGGTTGTTTTGTTTTAAAGTGACTATGTTTAAGACAAAAAAAAAAAAGAAAAAACCCAGGACAAGTTGATCTGAAAGCATTTTTATTGATGGCAAGAAGGAACAAATGCAAGCTAGGATTCAACAAGTCAATATTTCAGGGAAACCTTCAAAGCTTCATGAAGCCCAGATTTTGCTACAGTTCTTCAGTAGAGGAGCAACTCCTGAACGCCGTTTTTATTTGTAAGTTATGAAATGTTAATTTTAAGCTTTCCACACTGCAAGACAAAAATGAAATAATCATTTTGAAATTATATAAACACCATAAACAGAAACTAAAAACACCCAAAGTTCCTCTTAGTTCTCATGTTTATCAACTGTCTATTTTTTATTTATTTTTTATTTTTTTTAAATAGAGACATTACTAATCTAATTTGGTTATAAATTTAAAAAATAAATCATACGGGTTCTTTATGCAGGTAATGCAAACCAATCACGTTTCATTTTTTTAATCACAGATGTTTGGCTTAACGACTGAAGAACGTAAAACACTGAAATTATTAAGACAACTCAGGGTAAACAAAAAAGCTAAAGCTTTGGAATGATTTTGTGTTAGTGTTTTAAGGGAAATGCTTCAATATTTGTGCTGAAAAACAGACACTGAACACATTTTTTGTGGAAAAAAAATAGCAGTGGTAAAAGTTTAAACCACACACAATTATGGTGAATTTTTTTTTTTCTTAAACAGTGGGTTAAACTTTCAGTGTTTTTGCAAACAGGAGCCACCAAACAATGTTCTGAGACTTCCTGCTTACCTAGCGCCAACTTATCTATTTTTTTTTCTGTTGTAAGATGAAATTTTCATCACATTTCTAAAACAGATTGCATGGTTTTAGTTTATATGCTTAATTAAAGCCGTTTTACTGAACGCACCAATTAGTCCAATGGATTCTTTATAAAACTGTTGGGAAGAGCACATGTCGAGTGCATAGACACTGGCTCACATCATCTATCAGTTGTGAGAGGAATACTGAGAGTTGCCCAGAAACTGTCACATTCTCTTTGCCTGGTCCATGATGATGATGGCAGTTGGACTAGACACTAATACAGCTGGTTTCCTCCGTCTCTTGCTGCGGCTCCCAGGGTCCATCTGATGCCCCTACCCCTGCTTCTGCTTCTTGAGGTAACGGGCACGCTGGGACAGACCCATCCCCATCACATAGCTGTTCAGCAGCTTGGCTGGAAGCAGAGCTGTAGTCACCCACCCCTACAGAGGGAAATTACATGGTCATCTGTTGGCATTTACAAATAACAGATTAGCATTCATTATTAATCTCCAACCCACAGGAGCAACAAATGTGGCAAATGTGTTTGTACAAGGGAAATTCAAACAATTGTGTTATTGTATATGCTCTTTTCAAATTATGTTTGAACTACATGCCATTTGGTAAATTCAGATCACATAACTCAAGTCCTTATTTGGACAGTGTTTCAATCCCTTATTAATGCAAATTTAAAAGCAAATTAAACGAAATATTTCTTTTTGTAGTTAGAAGGTCACACAATTTAGTCTAAGGACAAATATACATGCCTATGTATTGTCAAGAACTAGACTTGAAACTTCTAACTTCAGCCATCATTAAAATGGCTATACCATAGAGAAATTCACATACATTTACATAGGTATGATAGTCATACATTTTTGGCCTTTACTGATGCATCATGCCCATTCTTTACTGATTCATCTTGCCCTTTCTTTATTCATCTGAGATGTCTGACGTTTCAGAAACAATATTTCTGAGCACTAATATGACTTTATGGTCACAAGTATCTGGGTCAAAATTCCATAATCTGGTACAGCAAAGCTGGTGAGGGAAATTATCCCATTTGTTAAAGGTGTAGCGGAGCAGGGTTGCACAATATATTGCCAAGGTATTGGTTGGCGTTTTATATAATGATGAATTTGGATGTTCCAAACACTTCCATGGCTGCTTGTGTTTAATGGTGTGGAGGAACTTGACTCGCTTGCAGATTCTTGACCTTAACATATAGAACAGCTTTGGGATGAATGAGAGAAAAATGCTGCAGTTGTGGTTTTCTCATGCAACTATAAACACACCACTTAAGCTTATGGAAGCTGCAAACAGTATAGTTACCAATTGATGGGGACTGGCAACCATAAACAAAAGGATCCCATAGATTAAGTATAAAATGTGGAAGTTTTTGTAAAAGAAGCTGGACATTGTGCAATATACTATGTTGAAATATTGCAGGACAGCAACTCTCCACGACTGGACGTTGGCTCCCCTGACTTAGAATGCAGGCCCTTGTACTTTCTGCATCCATAAACAAGCTTCTTATTTCATTTTGACCAAATTTTTTACTTTTCCTCTAGCAGAATTTGTGACATAAAATGAAATTGCTTTGTTTTTCTGCGATAGGTATAGTCCACAAATCTTAAATGTTTCGAGGCCATTTCAGAAGTTAGATTTGTCCATTTGAGGCTAATGATTTACTGCACTGTGTATACACAAGTCTAGCAGTCCACGGTAAAGTCAGAGTAACATCAAAATCCACTGAGTGGAAGCCATCCAAGGGAGAAATCAGGCTCTAAAGATGGTACATTCAATTCAAGAATTCAATTCAAAGAATTACATGTTTTGCAACAATGATCAAACTTTTCTGCAAGGACTAGTCAAGATGAGGCTTTTAAAACCAGAAAAAGGAATAAAAGCTACAAATAATGGTGTTAAATTTGTGCTAATGGTTTTTTGGTTGCCGATGGAGCTGGTTTATCACACTAACTGGGTGAAGTAATGGTTTTGTTTCACTTCTCAATTAATTGTCAAGAGCGATACAGTATGCTAAGGTTTTCCCAATACAACTTTTCAATTTCTTTAAATTTGCAGCTTTATCATACAAATAAATAGTTTAAAAAATCATATATTGTGATTTCTGGAATTTTTTTTAAGACTATGTCTCTCACAGCGGACATGCTTCTATGATGACAATTTCAGACCCCTCCATGATTTCTAAGTGGGAGAACTTGCAAAATAGCAGGGTGTTCAAACACTTACTATCCCTTACTGTAATTAAATTGAATTAAACAAAAGAGTAATTTTTCTGTATTCTTTATATCAGGAATCTTGGTCCCAGGCCAAACCATTCAGATATTAGATTTTTGGGCTGATGTAGGACTTCTGGTATTAGCAGTAGTAAATTCTTTTTCAGTAGTTTTGAAATGAGCAAGTCTCTCTTTAATCTTAAAGCTCTTGCTATTTTAAGTTGCTGTAGTTATCTATTGTGAAACTACTTCAGGCTGAAAATATAAGGGCTGAAATGCATTAAATATCCCCCATCAATTATATCATTGGTCATGATTGGTCATATGTAAACATTCTACTTTAACTTTATTATTTGTGTAGCATTTCAGACCAAAACCAGATACTTCTGTGTAATATTCCCATCCTCTTTCAAAGTGAAGATCGGGTTTATGCAGTCTAATCACAGGGTTTTACACAGATTAACTTTAAACATAATGAACTCATTCTTCCACTATGTTAGGTGCTGAGGGAAGGTATGTGATTACCGCTGCTTATCTGTTTGTAAGCTTGATTATACAAACAAAAACACGACCACATCTAATCACCTAGAACTTGATGGAGTTGCAGCAAAGAAGGAGCCATTTAAATTTCTCTGTGGATCTGCTCTCTTTTAATGTGTAAAAATAAAAGGAAATTGAAATTGTATACAAGTCGCTTCTTTACATGCTGTTTGAAAGCTCAGGATGTTATCTCAAGCAATAACCTTCAATAATTTCCAGAATTTTTTAAAATCCGTCCTTTGATCTTGTGTATAACTCAACCTAACATGGCTACCGTAATGAGAATTTGGTTTAAGGATTACAAACCCAGTAAATGAGATGCTGATTGAGCCCAGTTAAAGATGACCAAGATGTTTAGCACCCAAGTTAATTTACATCAAGTGTTTGGTCAAAAAATGCAGCACAGGATGGAATTTCACACTCCACTCACTTACCCATTTAGTTTTATTATTTTAAGCGTGTTACTATGTCATTCTAATTCGACAACTAAAGAAAAATAGGCTGCAGCAGAATTAATGGAACAGCTGTTGTTTTCCACCGGAAAGATGCAGACTGCTGTTTTACAGCAGTCTAAATTAGATACTGGTGAACTGTGGCTTAAAACTGTAAACGCTCAGAGTGCTGAGACACGGCTGAACAGAGAGGGATTATCAGATAAACACAACGGCACTGCTTGTCCGCTGCTTACCGACTGTTGAAATACTGTGGCTGAGAGCAGACAAGGTCTGTGCAGAATCGATGTTATCTTCAGCAAACAAAGTGACTGCACAGTCTTAGCAGAGGGCTTTTAATAAAGAATTTAATTCATTGATCACCTGTGTTCTTAAATAAATGGTGTTGTTCCATAAATGAATAATCAATAAACATGAGCGTAGATATTTGGGTCATACAGTCCACTGCAGAAGGCTGACATTGACATATGTTTGCGACCTCTGATAAATGAAGGTGGATAGAAGAAAATGCAGGCCAGGCCTAGAGTTTCCGCCTCATTTCCGATAAGGTGTCATTATGACATAGAGAATACCAAAAGGTAGTGAAGCGTCTCTCTGCATTATTTGGAGGATGTTTACCTCCAAACAGATGCTGGAAGCAGCTGTTCGAACATTACCTTAGTGAATGGAGGTGAGCTCATAGGAGGTTCTTTAGTATAAAGTCAAACGGGAGCTATATGAGCTACAGTTACCATGGCATACCTTCACTAAGCTATGTACGTGTAAGCTGCCCCAGTTCTATGATGCTGACAAAGAAAGCTTTGTTCTAACAAAATGGATAACATAAGCTATAGCTCGCACTGTAATTTGAAAGTTGTTCCACATGCTTAAATAAGCAGGATAGCAGAGCTTTTTATTTCCTATTGTGGGCAAATATTGTTAGCAGTGGTTTCCTGTGCAATGTATAAACAACAGAGTAAATGAGTTTCTTTGCTCTGCTTTATTGTTTTGAAACAGAAAAAGACTGTTTCTTTGGAGATCTACAATAGGATGACACAAAGTAAAAGTCCTGTTGGGTTGTTTCTGACCCAAAAAAGATAACAAAAATAAAACATAAAAAAACTGTAAACTAATGAATATATAGTCTGCAATTATAATTTAAGTAAATCAGCTAATATAACCTTTTCAGCATATATAGAAAGAAAAGAGAGAGGTCTGTGACTGTAAAACCCCATGTTGTGATGATGGTTGGTGATCCTGCTCTTCTCAATGACTTAATTGTAAGTTAAAGGTATAGCCTGCACCATGAAAAACATTTAGAGCCTGTTACACACTGTTAGAGCTTGTATCAAAGGTGATGTTTTATTAGACATGGGTGTTTTTGTAAAGAAATATTAAAATATCTAATGGTTACAATTTCCCAAAGTCAAAATACTAATCTGATTGATCTGATTTTACATTAAACACCAAATATCACTGGGCGTTATTCAAAATATAGGTTTTATAGAGATTTGTGGTTCATTACAGGACATACCATAATAGCATGTGGCAGGTATCCATTGGTCTGTGTCTGCAGCCCCACAGTGTTGATCTCAGCAGCAACATAGCGCTCTGGACTGGGCTTATCAAGTGTAGGACGACGGATTTTACTCAGCTTGGTGGCAACAAAAAATGGCAAAACACTCTAAAAAAAAAAAAAATGTAATAAAGACAAAATACCATCAATGTTAGCAGCTTTATTATCTTTATTTATTTATTAGCATCCTCTCACCCTGTCCCTGACCTAAATTATCAAACAATAGAAACTAATGAAAGCATAGAAACCCTTAGATTAGACTGTCCATCAATTACCTGAATGATGATCCCTTTGCTTTTGTATTCAGCTTGCAGTCCACGAGAGAAGAAGTCCACAAAGGCCTGTTTAGGCAAAAGGATTTAATTAAAGGCATTTCATCAAAATAGGGTAACCAAGTTTTCACAAATGTTCTAAGTGTAAAAAAGCCTCTCAGCAGGATTTCAACTCTTTTTGGAGCCTAAGGAACCTGACAACTGATTTCTCATTCCTTTTTACCCATTTCAAAATGAATTAATATAAAGAATTAATTAATTGATTAATGAGTTAATATAAAGAGAACTGATTTTCCAAAAGACTAACTTAAAGGAAGGGAGTAAAGATGGGAACAAAAGGGTATATGTGGGGGAAAAAAGTACTAAGGAGAAAGGGCAGAAAGAGGCGATATAAAGAGGCAAGAAGCGATATAGAAGGTAGAATCCAGAGAAGGAGACTTAATGGTGGAAGCAATGTGAAGAAGGAAAGAAAGAAAAAGAGACTATCAAGGAAGGACTGAAAATAGAACAGAAGGCGCACTGTCCTACTTTGGGTCATTTACAGCAACAAAAACATGGAGAACCAAAAGCAATCAGTGGCAGTTTTGTGAGTGAGCATCTATATAATGCAGAAAAGTCAGTTATTATTTGAATTTTACATTATAAGAAAATAAATAAACATTTTTTCTTATGTTGCATAAATAAAATATCATTGGTATAAGGAGCAAAATGACAAAATATCTGACAAGGGTAAATCAGCTTATTTAATAGAAAAAAATAATATCATAGGCTGGAAAGCTGTTTTATCTTAGCCCTTAAACGACTGTTCGGCCATTTATCATTTGTTCTTTCCCTTTATCTCCAGAGCTGGTTCCAGCTACCCGCCACCTTAGCGCAGTTTTGTTGCTCTCTCTATCTACGCTCATAGTGTCCTCCCCGAGCTCCAGAGCTGGTCCTGTTTTACCGCAGCCCCTGCTGGTCTCTCGGCCCTCTCTGGCCGCCTTCCTTTAACTTAGAGCAGGCCACAGCCAATGGCTTTTGCCCCAGCTCGGCTTCTCTCTCTCCGCACAGCTTGTTGCACTGCTCTCTCCTCTGCTCTTGTCTGAGTTCCATAATTCGTCCTCACCTTACTTCTGTTGTCCTTCCCCAAAGCAGGATTACCGTTTCAGGTTGGCAAGATGGAAGAACTGTGGAAGCTACGTGAACACAGCTGTAGTTTTGGAATGGGAACATCTCTGAAAGATGTTGTAGACCCAGGGTCGCAGATGCCAGCACCACTGTTCTGCTTTCCATAATGACTAAACACTGACTTAGTCGGTAGAATCTGTGCTAAGTTGAAAGAGCAAACATAAGATTGAACCTTGTTTTTTGATGAAGGCATAGAATGTAGGGAGGAACCATTATAGCTCCAGCTATGCTAATAGCAATGAATCCTTTGCAATAACCATTTTTCAACCCAAGGAGGGCACCATACACATGGTTTTGGACACAACAGTTTGACACATTGTCAAATATAATGGCTGGGTCATAAAGACAGAACTATTAGAAATCTATACAGTTTATGCGGAAAAAGAGCGTTTATTTACAGGTGAGTGGTACATAAAATCATGAACATGGGATTCATTAAAAAAATATGACAAAGAACTTCAAGGACAATTTACCCCCAAATCCTTTTTTCCCCACTCTTAATAAATTCGTTAAAGGGATTTCCTCAGAGTCCAAAGCTGTCCATTTGGCATTGTAACCACGTTTAAAAACTGTGGGCCTTACAGAGTATTAGTAGTATCGTTAAACCACCTAGAAAAACTGACATGAGTTATTCTGAGTCATGAGTTTGAGTGTGTCCAGATACAGACCATAGTTTTAACAGTCGAATGTGTAAAATAACCAATTATCTAACAGGCTAAATTAAACTTACTACTTAGAAACGGTCCCATTCTATAGAAGTATGGCTCAAGTGTGTTGGCCAAAGCAGGGGCCTCACGCAACTCTAGAACCAGCAGTTAGGAGAGGTATGCCTCAGGACCCCTGGCCTCCACCCCAGAGACCCCACACTCCAACAATTTCCTCCGTCTCTGATAAAGATGGTGAAAAATGCCCCCCCGTCTCAAACAACCAGTCCTTCACAAAACTATCACCATTATTACCGTCTGTTTGTGCTGCTGTCACTGCCAGTCTCTTTCCCAATATCAATCCATCTATCAAACTCAGCCAAACCACGCCCAGCCCCCACATGCCCTGGTCCGCTGGGTACACCTCAAAAAAGCACATTTTTTATTATATTTAGGAGGAAGGCAAGGCCCTAGAACAGGGTGAGTTGTTCTTTAATAACTATAACAGAGAGGAACACACTCTTTTCTAGCTACCAAAGAGAACATAAGACTAAAAGACATTTATGCTGTACTATATGTACAGGTATTGATTAGGTTTTGCCTAGAGGGAATGTATGTCAATAAAACAATAATTTGTTAAATGAGAACAAGGTGGCCCTTGCCTGGAAGGCCACAGCTTATGTTAACAAACAGTTTATGAAGCCGAGATGCATCTACAGGTATTCTTTCAAAGTAACATTTGATGTAAAGGTCATAGACCGTGTACTGCTATTACCTTGGAGGCAGAATACACTGTGAGCAGAGGAACTGGGTACATCCCACTGGCAGACGAGATGTTAAGGATGGCTCCCTTTTTCCTAAAAAACATATAAAACAAAGAAAAATGTTCTCTTACACAGGAAAGAAGGGAAAAAGAGACTGGTAGGTGGGGGGCAGCAGATACTTCAGCCTGAAATCAATCCCAGAGATAAAAGAATAAGGTAGCACATGTACTCGCATGCTGAGCCAAAACTCCACTTGTAGTACATCAAAGTAGCGCAGGAGCATAATGATAAGATCAAAGATACAGCAACATCAATACTTAAATGTTTACATTCTGATGACATTTTTACTTCAGCTCTTGCTACCTTTATCCAAACTCTTTCCCTTTTTAAGAATGAAAATTACTATAAGAATAAAAACAAATCTAAAAACACAAATCTTAAGCATATTCATAATATAATAATGTACAGTGACAGTTTATATGGAAGCCTTTTATACACACACAATGGGGGTGTAATATTAAGTCAGTTAACCTCTGGAATATTGATGAGGTCTGGTAAGTGTTAGAGGGGGTTGTTAATAAGTGATTTACATGATTCAATGCCATTACTAGTAGAATAAGGCCAAACCTGGCAGTGAAACTCCACCAGGATAAAACATCAATATGTTCCATTGCGTGAAAGTCTGACATGTCTCCTAGCACAGTTTAAAAAGCATGAAGGAAATCCCAGGGCTGCCGGAAATCTTTAACCTATCAGCATTTGCTTCCTTGAGCAATGAAGAACAGGATAAGTACTGAAAGCCCTACAAGTGACCTTTAGCGGGCCACTGGTGTTTATGTTTACACCCAACTATTGGAAACAGGGAGGCCCGAGATCCTCTTGTAGGTCCAGTGCTATGCACAATGTAAAGGCATTTGGGAAGGGAACTCCAGAATTGGCAGGTTTTTACTACTGCTTTTTCTTTTTTTGTTGCTGCACAGAGAAACTGGACTAGCTTGAAGCATCCGTTTTTGTTTCAATTTTTGACTTTGGATTAAGCACTCAGTGATGTGGACAAATTACCCATTCCATATCAGAATATTTAATCAAGCAGGATAATTTTATTTCTTCCTTACTGAGATCTAATGTGGTTTCAATGTGTTCTAATATTTTTAAGCAGTCTGCATAGAAATAAACTATTTGCAAGAACAAAATTAGGGATTCTTAAAACTTTCTCAATTGTTTATGCTTGATGCAGAATAAATATATCTTACTCTAAAAAACAAAAATGTACATAGTTTCCCCATTTAATTTATTTCAACATTTATTTCTTAATACTTCAATATTATGGGATCTGTATTTCCCAGCTTCTAACATAAAAAGCAACACTGTCTCCCCCTTTTGGCTGTAGGAGAGCTAACTCAAATGCCAATGGCATTCATTTAATGCCACATTTGGCAAATGCTGAGCGGTTTTGGCCAATTTAAGTTCAGTTAATTACTGAACCACATCAACAAAATTATTACATTTCTTTGTGACCAAAAGTGAACAATAAATTAGTCACAGAAAAGCGGAAATGTTACCACAGACAAGAAAATGTGAAGCTCTGGTACAGTGTGGATGATAGACTAACCCCAAACTCAAGATTTTAATTCTCACCATTTGGTAATAAATGTACTACAGACCGAATTAAACTCCTCTTAATTTATCAGTGATTAAAAATAAGTTAGAAAATTATTTGTTGTAGCATCCATAATAAAAAGTAGGAATTGATTGGATTTTTTTTCTCTACAGCTGACTTAAGAGTGCTGAAAAAAGGCTTTATTCTGTTTTTGCAGCTATGTCACACTAGAGAGTTCTGATACAAATTTTTAATTTTAAGCAAAGATCACCCAAACAATACAAAAAAAAGAAAAAAGCCATTCTAGACCGGGATTTTATTTAATAACAGACGAAGGCTATCCAAAACAAAGTAGCTCTTAAAAGAGCTGTCTATTACATTTACATTTGGCATAAAAATCAATAGAATCAACCCTTTTGGAAAATAAATAATGCTCCCCTGTAGCTCTGGTTATTCAGCTCCTTAGACAACCTGCCATTATTCATTGAGCAGGACTTGAGAATCCTATAGAGAATCTCTATATCAATAGTGACATTTAAATATGTGAAACCTGTTTCAGGTGCTGGAAACATTAGAATAAATTATATTAAATGTATTGTAAACATTACACAAAATTATTTTAAATTCTGCTGATGAAACAATTCAGCAACTAAAGGAGCTCAAAAATATATCCATAGGAGTTTGAAAGACTTTTTGCCGACTATCAGAAATTCTAACCTGCCACCAAAAAGGTAGTACAAGCAGTTATGAGTTGAGGAAGGAAATACATTTACAAAACAAGACCACTGAAGTTTGGAATAAAAGACATTAATTAATTCATGTTGTCTTTTTCTAGTCTCCCTGACCCCTAGAAGCGCCTTACTCTGAAGCCACATTCACAAAATCCCAGATACCAACCACCACATATCCATACATGGATACACAATTGGTAGTTAACTTTGGATTAAGTGCTTTTCATAGTTACAACCCATAAGTCACGAGGGAAAGATAGTAAAGTACCCTGAAGCTACCGACTGAGACGAATACTTTAACCACAATTGCCATATGAAGAGATGTTCTCATATGAAAACTGCATTTGGTTTTTACTATGGTTTTGTTTTTCTTTAAGTTGGTTTAGGATTTAACACATGGAAGTAAGAAAAAAAGCAAAAATTGAAAAAAGTAGGAGAACCTTTTTTTTTTTTTTTCACTAAACTGTATATTTTACAAGTTAATTTCTCAAAATATATGTTCCCCTCAGTGGATGGATCCTGTATGATGGAGCCTGATTAACTTTTGTAAGTGAAAACTAAGTAAAAATGGACTCCCTGTTTTCATTTAATCTTCCATAGCTCTGCACCTTCATCACATAACTTAATGTTACTAAAACAGGTATCAATATCTGTTGCATTACAATTCCTTCAGAAAGTATTTGCTTTAAAAAAAATCTTATTCTAAAACAGATGGGAGCATTTTCTCCATGATAGGCAAAACCAGATTTTTTCCTTCTGCCAAAGGTTGTCAATGCAACATTGTGTAAGTACTCAATATTTTGTCGCAGTGCCTTTGACAGCAATAAAGCCTAGATGAATATAACTCAGTGCATTCATTTTCAAAGTATTATCTCAAAATTTTTTCACCAGATATTTTTTATGTTCAGCAAGGTCATATGAGCAGCCTCTGTAAACAGCCATTTATAAGTCTTTAAAGAAAGAATTAGATTTTCAGCCCAAGCTCTTGCTGAATCACTCAGGGAAATTTCTATACTGCTCCTTTGTTATCTTGGCTGTGTGCCTTGAAACCATTGTGTTTGAAAATATATGTATCCCCTTAGTCTGAGATCCAGAACAATCTGGACGAGGAGCTGCTGAAGAATATCTCCATACTTTCCTGCTGCCATCTAAGAAATATTTGGAAAATGATTGAAGTGTCTTTACATTACATTACATTATGCCTTCAGTCATGTATTTAAATGTAGTTTAACTATTATCCTGGTAAAGAGCAGTACTCTATTTTTTTCTCAGAGATAATGAGTTCAGTCAGAAAATTCCAAACTTTTTGGATTCAGACAGATTAGAAAATTGTAGTCTCCCTGGAATTAAAGTCTGTATTGTGCTTTTTAGCAAAATTCAAGAACAATGGACCTTTACCATTAATACACATAATAGGAGCAATGAGTTAGGTTTGGTGGAAGGTCTGAATAACTTTTAAAAGAAAATAAAAGAAACTAAAGCCATTTTTAATCTGAAACAAAACAGTGACACAAGTTTTAAAGAAAATGTTAATACTTTCTGGTGACACTAGTGGAATTTTTGGTATGAAAAAACAAACTCACCTTTCTACCATTTGAGGTAAAAGAAGACGAGTCATCTACAAAAACAAAAAAAACATGAATAAAAAAGGACATTAGAGAGAAAGTGAATAAAAACTACTGACAGAAAAAGAATGATTTTGTGGGCTGTGTGTGGATGTGTGCCTGCAAACATACATCTGCGTGGGAGGTGTTTGAAGAGGTGGTCGGAGAGGTAACAGAAAGTGAGGGAGGAAATGTTAATGATAGCCGAGGGAACCATTTGAAGAAATATTGAATGACCTAAATTAAGTGTTGAAAGAGTGGGTGTTCTTTAGCAGCTTCTCTTGAAGTAGCAATATGCGTATAACAGCGACGGAAGTGACTTTCTGTTCTTTATGCTACTGTTTCCCATGTGTTTCTTGTGTGAGTGAATGAGTGTTCACTGCTTTGTGTGACTAACCGGATCACAATTCAAGGAGACTGAATGTACTTAAAACTTAATTAGTCAGTGATGTCTCGTACTACATAATGGAAAATTAATGATGGGATGATAATCTAAACTTTTAACTTAAAGGAGTCATCACCTGGAAAATTGATTTTTTTAAGAGGTTAAAATGTGTGGGCATTCTGTCTTAAGCTACACCGTCTCCCTTCCAACACCTGACGTTGTGACGTTAAGCTGCTACCATTACTAATCAGCGCGTTAAAGGTAAAGACGTCCAATCACGTGTGTGACTCTCAATGCAACTCTGTGTTTTGCTGCACATTATAAAGCAAATGTTTTCCTAAACTGGGACAATACCATGCAAAGATGACCTCAAGGCTGGATTTGGAAACGACGGCGATTCCAACAATCAGCGACTCACCTGCAGTGCAATCGGTTTATTTATTATGCAAGTCGCTGTAAAACGAAGATAAAGGAACCATGAAAAACTGCTAATGTTGCTAACACTACATCAGTATGTAACATACAGGTTTCTATTGTGCATTCAAAGCCTTGAGGCTCTGTTGCATGGATGTAAAGATGGATGCAAATTGTCTGGATGTCTGTGCATGTGTTTGGGGAAAATGACGACAATCCCAAAAGGGGCTACAGCATTATAATTTCCCATTGCTAAGGATCCGTAATCCACAGTGTCCCGTCTCTTCCTATTTCCGTTGCGACTTTGGCTCAAACGTTAACAGCTGAATTCCATGAGCCTTGGTACAGGGGTGCGCCACTGCTGAGATTTTGTTATTGTTTTAGAGAGTATCTACATACATTAAACTGGGCAAACCCCGATACTGGCTCTGTTTATGACATATCGACATACACACCCCCACACACACACACGTTCTGCCATCGTAGTGAGGACCATGTGTTGACTCCCATTGATTTTCAACCCTTTCTATCCACTTACCCTAAAGGGCTGGTTATACTCCCCACAGCAGTGTGTGGCAGTGAGCTTGTCGCAGATATTTTTTTGGTTTATGCTCAATATTGAAGCGTGCTCTGTGCTATGTTATTCCATGCCACAACACAAGAGGGACAATTAAGAACTAGCCGTGTGTGTAGATACGGCTGAGGCGGTGAGGAAGTGGGGGCAAATCTGTCCATCAACAGAGGGACATGAGGTTAAGAAAAGAGCGGGGATCCAGGTGGATAAAGGGTCCCACCTCGCTCTTCTAGCTGGTCCATCTTCACGTGTCACTTGCCGCAATGGTGGTCATACAAACTAAATAAGCCGGTAAGGTACCAAACAGTGTAGAGCGGATGTAGAGCTGACCAATCAAAGGCCTCCTGTTTGCAGCACTGTCTGGGGTCACCTACAATTTTTTAGAGGTGCAGCAGAGTGTCTGTGGCAGGGGCGGGGCCACATTTGCATTCACTATGACACAAGCAGATGACCTGGTTTCTGAGGGATAGACAGGTACACACACACACACACACACACACACACACACACACACACACACACACACACACACACACACACACACACACACACANACACACACACACACACACACACACACACACACACACACACACACACACACACACACACTTCAAACACTGAAGTATATGTACCCTTACAAAAAAAGAAAAGGGTTTAAAAGGGGGTTTAAATTGGCCTTTTTTATTATTCTCCTAATAATGATTAAATGATTAAATATGCATTTTAACACAATTTGAGAAGGATTGTATGCGTAAATTACTATGTGATGATTCATTTAATTTCAGCTGAAGGTTTCCAAACAGTCTTTCAACTGAGAAAATTGAAAAAAATAAAACTCCTACTTTCATTCCACTGATTAATTCCAACTGAGTGTTTTTTTTTTAAAGATCAGTTGGTGAGAAATGCAGCTCCCTCAGTTTAATAGCAGATATATCCACCCATCAACACAGAGTCAAGGCTGCAGTTACAGTTAAAGATGCACTAAATCTAAATATCATCTTGTAAGGCAGGGAAACTTATGCAACCATAGTTTCATTTTAAATGATTGATTTTTTATTTAATTTTTTAATGATGCACTTTCATTTTTGTTCGTCCCCATGAATACCAAAAAAACGTATTCTTCGCACTCACCTGGCACACTGATGTTATATTAATGTTGATCAATGTGTCGAGGAACTAAAAAAAACAAACAAACAGGGGTTTCAATGGTGTTAATCCTATCTTTTAAAATATCAACAGTTTTAAAAAGTTTAACATTTTTCTAAGTTTAGACTTCTATAAAACAAGTTTTGTTTTTGTTCTTTATTTCAATAGTTTTAAAAGTGCAGGTATGATAAAAACAGTCTTCTTTCCAAAAAAAAGTGTTATTTCCCTGTTAAGTGGACCTCCATTGATCCTATTAGGACTTCTGTATATTACCAATCTATTCAAATACACATAGAAATATATTCCTAACACATGAGGAAGACTTACCGTGTCGAGATTGGGAACGTTGAGGAAGAATTCAGGGTAGGGATAGGACATGCCCACATTGTTCACTAAAAAAGAACACAAAAAAAAAAAACAGTGATGAAAAACAAAAAATCCCAGTCCCTAAAGGAGGGGGAAAAAATGTAATTTAAAAAAAAAATGTTTCAAGTAAAAAGTGCCATTCATTTTTTTTCTTTTGGGGGCAGCAAAGGAATGTTAAACTCCCTTTAAATAGATATGAATCTCAGTCATTTCTGTCTACGCTTTCATCATCAGTTGTAATCCAAAGTGACTGACTAAAAGACTTAAAACAAAGCAGGTAACATCCAAGCTAACAATAAAAATATAAAATCAGAATATCTGAGCACTACTTTTATTTTATTTTAACCTAATGAAACCCGGACATTCGTTTTCTCTGAAAACTATAAATGCTGAAAGATTTTAAAGAGCAAACATATTGCAAATGCAGTGGAAAATACAGCAGCTGTAGTAAGATGCAATCAAAAAAACAAAAAAGTGTTGCTACGAATGAGAAGGAAATGCTTGATTGAATTTTTCCCCCGTCGTTATCTAGGGACTGTGTTTACTAGGACCCCAAAGAGGACAGACACAAACATCACTTTTAAACCATTTATCTATCACAGCTCATTTCATCATGACCATGATGATCAACATTATTGCATATACTGGGCTAATGCGATGGTTGTCCCCCTTCCAGTAGGAAAATGGTAATACAAGGTAATTAAATCCAAATCCAAAACAAATAGACTAAGGAACATTTTATTTCCCAAAGCTGTGAAGGCAATCGTCCCCCTACCAATCAAAGCACTTGCAACTCATCTCACCTTTCGCACACAGAGACACTCCATCCACAGACACACTCAACAAGATCACATACACACACAAACATGCTGATAAATAAACCACCAGCCGAGCACTGCACGCCACATTTCCATGTACAAACGTGTTTTTCCAAGGATGTTTACATCTTCTGCAAATTAAAATTTCTTTAGAGTTAAAGGATCATATTTAATACTGTATATTTTTCTTTTGAGCACGTCTTTAAATTATTGAGGGTCTTCTCTAAGGAAGCTAATTGTTCTTTGTTTATGTGTGTTTTCATTTTCTGTCCATTTATTATATGTGCAATCTGAGTCGGCGTCTCACCACAATAAAATTATAGTTGTGAAATTGCAATAAATGCTGTAGATTCTTAGTATTTCATTCCCTGATAATGTGCATCTATAACTATCTATCTATCTATAACCAGTATTTACGACTCCTTTTGGGGGAATCATAGCATCAATATGCCATTGGATGAAGGCGATCAGGAGGCCAAGGTTGCTTTAATAGTGACCTTTAGCTCTTTGTTGGGTCTGGCATTTTATTTTGACAATATTGCATTCAGTCTTAATGGCATTTAGGTCAGCAGAGTCTGACACCATGTTAGTTGAAACATGTATTCTTACTACTGAGAGAAGGAAGCTCTGAGAATTTTCTTACTTATCTTCCTTTTTAAGCACATTTTTCCTTTCACTCCAGTTGCTTTTAATAAGCTAGCAATACAACACTCTGGACAGCCATCTCTTTAAGCTACAGGGGATGCCATGACTGCTGGGCAACTGTCTAGTCGGCCTTGATTTGTCAGCTTTTGTTATATTCTATTTCCTGAAAACTATTTTGCTTTTCCTCATCTGTAAGCCACAAGCATGAGCAAATGCCTGAAATAAACCACTATTTACTGAAAATGTTCATATTGAATTGGATATTTGAGAAACTATTGATTTTGCAGATGTAACTTATTCAGACATACTTACTGAACACACAAAACTTAAATTCATACTAGTAGATTAGACTTAGACGTAACTTAATGTTATTTATTCATTTAACTACATTCTAAATAAAATTGGAGACTTACCCAGAACTCCAACCTCCAGTCCTGCAAGGTCTTCATCGATCTTCGTATAAATATCCGTAGCACTGAAGTCTGCAGCGATTGTTTTAGTTTCCACGCCACATTTACTAGCTGAGGGCACAATCATGCATTTACGTTCAGTAAAAAGGAATGTTAGAGATGGTGTAAGGATTGAATCAAATGTTTATCAAATATGTTACTTGAGCTGGAAAATAAATAAAAAAATAGAAAAAGTTGGAATCTCAAAACATCATCATCATTATGGAAAGGGTTCTTTTTATTTAATTCTATGCATTCACACTTAGCTCCAGCAGGAGGCTTTGCTCCTCTAAAATAAAGCCGCCGCAGCATCTCTACAGTACTGAAAGGATCATGAGCAAGACACTCAATTTGGCGCTATATCATTTAGTCACTTGTCAATTAGGCCCTTTGGGTGATAAAACACTTCAGGCTGAGGATGAATGAGGCTTTACAGCAGCAGGGATCCTGATGGTTAAACTCTAGTCCAGCAACTGTTTGCCTTAATGGATCACCTACATCAGTCTTTTTCTTTGGAAGATGAGAACTATTGATTTTCCTGGACAGAAATGAAAGACTGGTTTGAATAATTGGTTAAATATACTAATATTCTGTCACCTTTAGTAAGCTTGATTCTGAAGTGCCATGTTAGAGCGAGACAAAAATCAAAGATGATGTCAAAACATAAAAGCCCACATATCTTACCGATTGCCTTGGACACATCATCGAGTTTCTCTTGAGAGCGGCTGATCAGAACGATGGCAAATCCTCTGCGGGCAAGCTATTTAGAAGGAAAGAGAAAAACTAAACCGACCAAGTCCTTGATGACAACAAACAAAGCGTGCTGCTGAAATTACACAATGCAGGGGACAATGAGATAGAAGAGTTAAAACAAAACCGATGTATCAGTCAATTTAGCTTGATTGACCTCAATATCTCCATCAAAAAAGGTTTGATAATTTTTCAGTGCTGTCTAAATAAAACCAAAGAGAAGTGAGTTAAGACATAAATGTATGGACGTATGACCAAATAATGTAAACAAGCTTCAAAAACCATCATTCAAAGTTACATGCCTGTGATAAAATATACAACACATTTTTAATTCAAACTAAAACTGAATAAAGATTATCCCAGTTGTCTTACCTCTTCTGCGTATGCTTTCCCAATCCCATCTGTGGCTCCTGTTACAACTGAAAACAGAACAAAGGTAGATACACAGACAGATAAGCATTTTTTCCATTCATATATTTTAACAAAAAAGGGTTAGAATAGTATGACCGTGTGGTTTAATTTGCTCAACCACGACATGTAGCTAATTTGTAAAATTGAATAATGATCCTAGCCTGCTACTGTAACACCATCATTATGGTGGTTCTGATTGAGACAAAGAGGACATTTAGGATAGACCAGAGGTGCAGGCCGGTCAGGAATGGCTTATAGTGTTTTGTAAAACTATACAAAATACTTAACCAAAAAACTATTAAAAAAAATAAAAAATAAAACTACAGTATGGAAAACAAATATCCTTTAATGGCCCACAGGGAAAAAAAAAAACAATGCATGACAGAGATGCACATAAATATAGCAACAATTAGGGCTAGACAATATAGCCACTGCTTCTATCTCGATATAGTTTCATTATGATATAGAAATGATAAACAGCAAAAAAGTTTAAAGGTGCATTCAGACCGAGAGCAGTATCCGCTGTGATTTCCAGCAGCACACCCTGGACTGCATCATCAAATTGAAGCTGCGTGAAGCTGACACCCCAGCCATATCATTTGTAAAAATGAAATAAATGAATAAAATAAAGATCACATGTGCTACTGTTGCTTCAGAAATATTAAACATTTTTTTTTTTATAGTTTATCCAACTAAGATTAAGCTCTGAATTGAATCAAAATGTATCTTCTTTTTCATTGCTACTTGATTTTTGCAGGTCAAACTGTTGTTTGTGCCGATTTGGTTTTAAAGATAGAATTAATTTTAACTACAGCCGATGACGTCGCCATCCCCGCAGACGTTAGTGTCATTCCTGTGATGGTATTGAATATAACAGTGGGCATATTTAATTTATTCAGTGGCTGGAATGATTAATATTTAGTAAATCACCAGCCTGCCAGAACCTTCCTCCCCATGGCATTTCCTGTCATGGTCTCACTGTTGTCACTTCACAATAAAAGCACAGTTGAAACTTAAGTTGTGCTTTTATTGTGCTTCACCCTGCTAAATTGATCGCCATGCGCACAACTTTTGAATCAGATTTGGAGTATCAGAAAAGCCTTGAAAGCACACACACACAAAAAAAAAAATGTGTATATATATATATTTTTTTTTTTTTTCTTATCCATCTCCAATTTGGTTAAAGTGATAAGAGGATGATCTTTTATTTAAGGGTGGATTGTGTAAGAACTGGTCCTCCTAATTTTCAATCATTCTAGTGATATGTTTACATAAGGTGATCCTACGTGCTTGCCCTGTTAGCTATCTTTTTCTGCACATGCGCACTTTCAGGCGTATATGCGTCATTAGAGCACACCTTTCTCACCACGGTTCTTTGAAAATGGCCAAGAGTCATAAGAGGACAAGTGTTTACAAAGTTTATGAAAAGAAAAACCTAAGAAGAGGCAGACCTATTCCAGAATGCTTTGCGTGGAGATGCTCCTCACAAAGCATTATGGGATTTGCTCTCACAGCGGCCCACTGTCGCAAACCCGACAGCGGTGACTAATAACCAGGATGCTGCAGGCACGACGTGGTGGAGGAGGAGTTACGTGACCAGTGGAGCTAAAAGCAGTGATTATTTGTCCTGACGGTCAGTTAACTGAGTTCGCTATAAAGTCTACTATATAGTCCCCACTGTATATGGACACAGTAAGATTGTATGAGCAATAAGAACAGCACTTTTCTTTTTATTCCTCATTTCTACCTTTGTTAACATTATTTATCTCTGTATTCCATTTTAACTGAAAAAAAACAAACTAAAACCATTTCCCTGATTCCGATTGGTTCCCCTTAACCTTTCCATGAAAAAAATAATCTCTTCAAATTCAGCCATCTCTGCTCTGCTCTCTCCATGCTGTGCTGCTGTTTGTAGTAGCACGAGGTGAGAGCAGAGCAGTAAACGCCGTCACTGTGTGGGATTCATTCCATTTTCAGCTTTCCTTTCCTTCCTCGTGCAGTTTGCATAGGGATAATATGTAAATCCACTGCCCTCGACTTAAGAATGCTAAGAATAAAAACAATAGAAACCAATTGAAAAATAAATGTTTTTGTTTTGTCTTTTTACAAATGTATAAAACCCATCCAATATGATGTTATAGAAATATAAAATAAATAAAAAAAAACATTATAAAACAGCGAAAAACCCAGTATGTCAGTCAAATGTAAACTGCAGACCTATGTTTGAAATATCTTTTCAAGTCACATCTTCATTTTTGAAAAAAAAAAAAACATATTGTGACTAGAAAATCACTGAGAGAGAAGACCTCTGCCAAGCAGCAAATTTTGCTCCAAATTGTGAATTGCCCCTATAGATAAAACTTGCAAATGTTCTGGATCATAACCACATTTAAATGAATCGTTCCTTGGCATGATGCAAACCTCTGATAAAATTATCCATAAAATCTGTTAGGTTTGAATTGATCCTACTAACAAACAAATAACGTTCCCTTTCTTGTGTTCTTGTCTTCAATAAAATACCTCCTGACTTTTTTAAGTCTGATGCTTAGGCTGTCAATAGTCACTGCTGCCATCCTCTGGTTTAGTTAGGGGCTGCTTGTTCCATCAAATATCCCCCTCATAATGTAAGACATTTTTTTTTTTAAGTCCTTTATCCAGACAAAAATTGAATGGGTAGTTCTTTGTCATGAGGGACACTTCTGATAAAAATTTCATTAAAATCCGTCCGAAACTTTTCAAGTTATCCTTTACACAGACAGACAGGCAGGCAGCCACATAAACTCTCCTAAAAAACATGTCCTCCTTGGTGGAGGTAATAAACATGAAATAGAATATTGCCCACATTAATAAAATACAAAATTTAGAAGACAACTTTAGAAAGTAAAAAAAAAAAACTCAAAAACACAATTGTTACAAAAAAGATTGGATGTTCATCATCTGTTAACATAGATTTGCAAGTTTTACCACAAAATCTTATTTGCTTTTTGTTCAGATCGTCACTTGACAATTCTAACACATCATTTATGTAAACTTACTCCATATAATCACAAATATTACAGCTTTGACTCATTGCTTTCTTTCCAGGTTTGGCCTGTGTTAAGCTGCTTCCATCTTCCAATTACCTCTGATAAGTTACCGTCCATGCAGAAGGAAAGTATCCCCACAGTATAAAGCCGCCTTCACCAGGTTTCATCATGGGCGTTATGTTTTCAGGGTATTGCCCAGTTACCCACCACAAAGACTTTTGCATGCCACACTCCTCAATTTTTCAGTTAATAGATAGAACAGTTGGTAGTGAGACATTCTCCGCTTCGAATATTGTTTTATAACCTATACTCTAAACTAAATCTAATTCTCTGCAGCTTTTATGTACGACTTTTCTTGTGCATTCCTAGGTATTCATCATACAGTTTGTTTTACTAATGTTGCTTTACAAATTCGTAAAGCAGTCAAATAACTGCATTTTAAGCAATGTGAAAGTTAAGTCCTTATTTGACTTTCTTTAGCAGCCTCAGGGTAAAAGAGGACTGAATACAAACACAGGGCAAACTGACAACCATGTAATTTTTCCCCTCAACACTTGACAACTGTGCACCACCGTGTTGATCCCATAACAAAATCCCAATGATTGAATTTTGTATAAATTAATTTTGTGAGGTACATTAGCATCGACACTTTAAACAGTTCTCGATGATGATCACAACTCAGCAATCCCTGGCCAGTATCCTCTGCTCAGGAGTGGCAAAAGCAATTGCATTATCAGATGTGAAAATACTCATAAGCCACAAAAGTGGGTCTCTGTCAGCCTTATCGTATCAAGCATACTTGATATTAGATAAACACTGACTGCCCGAGCCCCACAAGGCCAAGTGGAAAACTGTTTGAATAGAGGATTGCAGAAGCAAATCAAACAAGAGCTCTCAGATATATCTGGCTCTCAGGTTAGTGGTTAAGAAAAAAAAAAGAAAAGGAAAACTTCTTCAGACAGAAATGGCACATGGAAAAACACCACGGAAAATTAAGACAATAGAACAGAAAATGAAAGAAGCATCAATACACAGACAGACAGTGCCACCTACAGAACCTTTTGAGACATCTGGCAAACACTGTGCAAACAGCAATGGTGGCTGGTCCAAGAGCTTAACAAAAAAATATACTGAATTCCTTTTCAATACAGCAAACTACCATGTCAATTCCAGAGGATGTTGTGTGGAAAAAGGTGAAGAGAGCTTCTAAAGTGACTGAGGAGGACAAGGATAAGAAAGAGCCCGTCTGTCATAGGGAGCAGCACAGCGAGCAGATGCCCTGGAAACGCCTGGCACAAACAGCAGCAGTAGAAGGAACTATTTATAGCAGTCCCCATCTTTAGAAAAAGGAACGATTCATCACAACCCTTACTCTTACAAATATAACAAACCCTGACAAACTGACCCTATTCACATTTAAACCCACTTTTCTTTTATCATTTTTGATTTCATTAACAGTTTGTTGTAACAACATTTCTTCATTGCAGCTTTGACAAAGAGAAAACAAACAAAAAAAGCTTATCGTTTTGTTATACTAATATGGAAAGGGATTTGAGTTATTAAAAATAAAGTCCACTGAAAGAATAGTGACTTCAACCTCACATTTGTGACTGCTTCTATCTAGGCATTCGGAAATCTGAAAACATTATCAAATTGTACCGTCCTAGCAATGACACTTATGGACTTATGAATTTAGCTTTATGAACTAAATATATACAACAACATAAATCCTTAGGGTCCCAAAGAATTTCTGTCAAAGTATTGAGTTTTATGTTATATTTTTTTGCTGTGCTTTTTTTTCTTTATGCCATGTGCAAAATCAGCAAAAAAAATACCTTAAAAAACATAAATAAAAAAATTGGGCATCATAGCATGTATTGCAATAGTTAAAATGCAAACACGTAAATATGGAAGCGAATTGTTACCATATTTCAAATTAAAAAGCATTTCCAGAAATGCTTTTTCATTTTAAGAATGTGGCT